ATTCTTTGCGAGCTTTTTTCAAACAGGCACCTCAAGCGCTAACCACAGACATTGTGACACAACTATGTCATGAACAGAGAGTTATATGCGGAAGAGCTTTGAGACCGAGTTTTTTTTTTCAATGCAGCTCCCTTCAAGTTCACTCTCTGAATTTGCCTATAATTCTCATTGCCTCTTCAAACTCTATTAGGCATGCTTTTTTAACTGCCTTCGTGTCTACTCTACATATAATTTAACACAATCACGAATTAGACGGCCTTTATGTTTAATGCAGATATGAAATACTAGGGCCCTTGAGATTGATCTTTGAGGAACCAAAGAACGTTCCGTTGCAAAAGGGACATGGGGTAGAGACCCAAAAATTGTTATCCGAATGAGGCAGTTCTCACATAATCTAATTTTGGGTCAAGTAAATCTCAAAAGACTGTTCTTCACCTTGCAGTATTGACAAATACGACATGGAATCCCAGGTTCTAAGGCTACTCGATCTCCTACATCGAATCCTTTTACTCCGGTGCCCAAACCTGCAACGACTCCACTCGTCTCATGTCCAAGCACCTGAAAAATTATCACTTCATCCAAGATATGAAAAATGCTAAAAGTGTTCACCATTGGTTCCTTTACCACAAAGTTTCCAATGGCACCCCGCTGCCAAAAGTGGACGTCGGAACCACATATTCCAACAGTGTTGACTCTAGACGGAAATCATAAGTTGGTTTGTGAAAGGGTGACATCAATCACGGCAATCATGATTCAGCAACTTATGTAGCATGGAGTTACTTGATTAGCAGCTGATTAGCGGCCGGTTTTGGCATCTCTCGTTGTTCTAGTCGAATGTCATTGATTCCATAAAGAATAGCAGATAAGTTGTCTTTCATCGCCCTAGAAAAAAAGCTTTTGACAGAGGTGCGAGGCTAAATTTGATGAAAATGAAAGGAACTGACAGCATTGTTGCTATTTGATGTGCTGCTTTATAAATTTTTCACTGGAATAGGCACTTCCGCAGTGATCTGTATAGTGCCACCTTACAACTGAAAATGAAAAATAAGATTTAAGAAATTTGGAAAAGTGCGTTCATATTCACAGTAACGGCTCGTTTTGCGAGAATATATGCCTTGAACAAA